CTCTTGTCTACAGTAGGCTGTATCGCGTAAAAAACAATTCGTTCGAAAATCGCCCCTTATCGTAACTAGTCTTTGTGGTAAACCAGTTGTCGATGAAACACTCGTTACCATTGGTGTATAACCTTGCAATGATAGAAATTTTGCGTCGTCTTGCCTTGTATACTGGTCCAAGGAAATCAAATTATCATTCACATAAACACGAGCTAAATAGGTGCCCTCAGGCATTGCTACTGTATAACAAAGTAAACGCGTGTCAGTTATCTCATTGGCGTCAACGTCACAATCGTATATAGTATAATAATTTACTAGTTTTACTTCATAATTCGTACTTGACACCGACAATCCAGTGAATGCATTTGGTACAAAACCGCCACCTCGAATCCATAGTTCCGTTCCACCATTCGTGCCTCCGCGGTTTTCACCTCGATTACCATTCCTTCGAGTAGTGACGTAGTAGATAATCGTAGTTGAAACTGAAATATTGAATAGGACAGTGAAGTCAGTGACAAGCGGAGACCTATTCTAGATTTCAAACTAGTCAACAATTGAAACTGTACGATTTGTTTTCTCGAATATTCGCCAGCGAAAGTTGTCTCTCTCAGATATCTCTTATACCGTTTAGAAACTATATGGGGGTGAAGAGCTGCATCCACTGTGCAGCGTAGCGTGAATTTCCACTATAGTGTATTTGACAACCAGGGTAAGTCGAACACTTCATGTAGAAATGCATACCTGATTGTATAATAAGAGTCCAAATCAAGAATTGAGTTATGAATATATTCGTAGATCTCATTTTTCTGCAGTCAGTTACTGTTTTACGTTACTGACTTTATACGGGAACCTTTTTTTCGTTCTGATTTCATGATTTTTGCATGTTTACACACTCTCGCAGTTAGAAATCCTATACATTTTCTTTTGTCGCAGTAAAGCTTCGATCAGGCAAAATCATAGCAATTTTATTCAAAAAACGGAACTGAATTTTGAATGAAAACAATCGAAACGCTTCAAAGCAACACTCAAGTACTTTGAAAATAAAACATTATTTCGTCGCTAGTATTGTTAGTGTACGATTGTTTTTCGCTCATTTTTTCGGAGAATAAAGTGAAATTTGTGTTTTAAACATGATTACATGCGACGTACTTATTAGCTGCACATCTGTATTTATTAGTAACTGCTGTGACCTTTGGTTCTTTGAATGTAGAAGGTAACAGAAAAAATACATCATGAATTCATGTTAGAACTAAAGATGTCCAATCGACATCGTCAGAGTAGTTAAACGAACATTTATTTCAAGATGAAACACGCATCGATTTGACAAATTGTCAAGACGAAAAAATGAGAGTTCGTTTTTGATCATAAATGACACATGTACATGACCACTTCAATCCCCACCATCGGTGTCACAGGCATGTCCTCCGTCAGAATGACTATGATGAGAGTTCTCATATTGTAAATTTACCGTGTTGCCATCGTGGTAGTTTCCATAATTGCAGCTATTATTAAAATCTTCATAGCCATACGACGCGCCAGGACGACGCCGTCTTGTTGATTTTGGAGATTGACAAGGGCGACGAGCGTCTTTCTTACGTTGTTTCACTTTGTAATTATGCGGTTCCCGATGAAAAACGCGCTTTAACCAAGCCAATACTGTTCTCTTCTCCATTACTTACGATTGTTTACAGGTATTTTGAGGATGAATACAAATGACAAAGTATTTATACCTCTAATTAAACGACAATAGCCTACGACTTCTGGCCCACGCTTCATGGGTATGATCTATGTACACAACAATGATGACAAGGGAAAAATTTTGCTCTTTCTCTGTGTAAAACAAATAAAAGCATGGGCACATTGTGTTTTGAATGTTCTTTTCAATTCCTTAAGGGCACATGCAATTACGGCTGACATCATCGAAATAAGTAATGTGAAATCGTTCTTGCAGGTCGATTATTATATAAAGAAATCTTTTCCAATACAACACTATAAAGCAACTCGTTCAAGATAGAGCGTTCTAAAAATACAGTGTAGAGGTTCGATCGAAGTACATATAACCTATAACATTATCCTGTTTTTTCAATACTCGCTGCCACATGCGTTGTTTGTATTCTAAATGCTAAAAAAACATTCAGTGATTTTTGTTTTGTTTTGGTTTGGTTAAATTTTTTTCCTAAACATTTATTCAATATAAGAATGAATAAATTCTACATGAATATGGGCTGAAAAAAGTCCATTTTGTTTGATTTACGAGTAGAGGCGAATTTGTCCTTGCCAGGATTATTGAAACTTTTTATATGTATCTGTCAATCGCTTCGATTTATGATATTTCTGGTCTATTGACGACTGGTTAAGTTTCTTTATGAGTGTCGAGGATGGCAAAACGTTATCAAACAAAGCTAAAACTTTCATTCTTACTACGCTCTCAACTCTAAGGAGACACAATCATCTAATCCTAAACGTCGATTTAATTTCATCATGAAAATCTCATCGGGAAAAGTGAAAAGTGAATTTCAATTGCAGAATAAGTATTAAAATAAAACCCTTTTCGTAATGAAAAAGCTCAAGAATGTAAATATGAATGTATATCACGAAGCCATTGGTACCGATACTCGTCGTTCATTGTTCAATGGTTGGCTTTTCTCATAGCATGGCAACAAAGTAATAGATATTATGACCGGTTCTTTTTCTGTATTTTTCATCGATTCTAATTGAAATTCTCGACTTCAACTGACCGACGAAACAATGTCTGTTGAATTTGTGATTTCATCAAGAAAGAATCAAATTTCGTGTCTTGCAGTAATTAGAAAAGATTTGTAACTATCTTCATTCACTTTAGATAATCAAATGCGAAAGAAGAGAAGCCAATAAAAAGTGAAAGATACGAAGATAAAGTTTACGGTCGGGATCAACAATATTTACTGTTGTCAAACTACGAGGAGCAAAAAAATGAATTGATTACTGATGGAGAAAGCATAGGCCAAATAAGTAGTAGGAATATTGACATGTCTAACATTCGCGTAGATCACCAATATATGGGGTAATCCATGGGATCTCAACCACGCTTACATCGAGTTCCTCCAAATCTCTTGAAACTTTCAGCACTTGTAGACCATATCGAGGTATAAAAATCCCTGAAATCAGTTTGTCGAATTTCTTTAGTAGGTACCCATGTATTCATCATGACATTTATGGGACTTTCGAGCAAANGAAAATCCTCAACTTATTCTAAATGTTTTAAATCGACTTTTTAATACTCGATTAACTCTCTCTTTTCTGGTGCAAATGACAGTTTGTCAAAATCCCACGATCGACTGTTTTTGAAGAGAATGTTCGGCGTGTGATACCGAAGTACCGTCGAATACTTTTTTGCAACAATTGAAGAACAGCGGGAGAGACGGGGAAGAAGATGTGACATGGGTATTGTGGGAGAAAAACGATAAACGAGTTGAATTACAAAGGCACACTACTTCTCTTGATGCACTTATCGAAAAATTTGACAGTCTGTGGGAAAAATTTTTAAAACACCATTTCGTGACAGTAGAACAACGAGAATATATCAAACAAATCAAGGCAAGGTCTTCTGAACATAGTATCGCTGTGATTCAATTAGATTTTGCTGAAAATTTCAATTTGTTCAACCAGTCAGCCGTTCAGTCATCCTATTATAGCCATCAACAAGTAACTATTTTTACGGTGCATATTAAAATGGGTGCAGGTCATCGGAATCTTGCCATTATATCAGACCATATGAAACATACAACTGAATTTGTTTATCATGCTCAAATTTTGATTATTAATTTCATTAGAAAATGGTATCCGAGTGTGAAACAGTTGTAAGTTCTAGGAGACACGTTATTTTTCTATAGAAAAGTGTCCGAAAAGAGCGATTGAGTATAATTCAAACGATATGTAAAATATGTTCCAAAGGGAAAGATCAATGTAACATTGAGCGTTCGAAAATTATTGCGAATTAAGGAGAAAAGATTCTGTTTTTTTCCTTCTCATTTGGCTTACATAATTGTTTCGATGTATCATTCCACTTTTGATGCATTCTAAGATTCAATTGCAATAACTATTCTTTCTTGCGCAAGACTGCCAACAAAAATAACGACCTACATATATCTATCTCGTCATCATAACATGCTATTCCCTCTACGAAAATACTCTATTTCTTTCTTTACTTTTTTCCGTAGAAACTACCTCAGCGATGGAGCTGCAGCACACTTTAAAAACGCCAAGAATATGTTAAACCGTACTTATCATGAACGAGATTTCGATTTGCCAGCAACTTGGACATTTTCCAGTACCTCTCACGGCAAAGGTCCTGTGGATGGTATTGGAGCTGCTGTGAAATCTACAGCAACACGTCACCTGCTCAAAAGTACACCTGAACAGTCATTTCTTTCAGCAGAGGAATTTTTCAAGTTTACTCAACAAGTCAATGATCACCAAGTGATAAAAGNGAGTAAAAGGGTTCTGAAGGGACATCATTTCAGTGAAGATGAACAGAAGAGTTTTGAAAGCAGTCGAATATTCAAATAATTGAAAAAAGACTGCAAAAATTGTTGAATAGTTGAGTCGAAATTTTGAGTTTCGCATTACTAAAAGACGCAAGGATCATAGTAGCTATTCATAGCGGACTGCTGTTTCATGTGTGAAAAATGATCATAAATAATGGACATTGCATAAATAACAAGAACGATGACAGTTGTTTGGTTAGTTTTGAAAAAGGTTGAAATTGACGAGGACAGTTCTCGAGACATCATTTGGAAGCGCATGTTTTATCTGAAGTATAATTCAATCAGTCGAGGGTAATGCGTGTCTCCCTCGACGAGCGTTCTTTTATTTGTAAGTCGTCAGCTTTTCCTTTTAATGCAACGGCAATGAATTATTCGTCCAGCAATTCTCGTTATACTCCAACAACTAAGATCCAAGATATCATTGAACAACTAATGATTGAAAAGTGGAATGATAACATCTCATTCTCGTTATACTTTTCTCAATGTAAACCAGACATATGTGTTTATACATATAACATCCAAGGTGATGTGTTCTATGTTATCACCACGATTATTTCCTTGATTGGAGGGTTAACAACGATACTTCGAATGTTTATACCACTAATCGTGAGTTGTATCAAGTCAAAGAAGCAGCCTGTGACGAACATGAATATCAGTAGCAACTGTAAGTGTAGTTTTAATATTTCATATAGATTGTTTGATTGTAAATGTCTTTTCTTGTCGTGATACTTGTTGCAGCAATATTTAATTCTAATCGTTTACGACAAGTATTTAACATGCTTAAAATACACTTCATAACATTCAATTTATTCAAAAATCCTAATAAACGATCTAATAAACAACTGCAGAAACAACGTCTTTCAACTCGTTGCTTCATTTTTCTTATTATCATTACACTCGTCATTCTTTTGATATATACGTTCACAGAAAATGTGACACAAAGTGTTACGATTAAGAATCCATCGATTAGTCTGTTTAATTTGCTTCGTCAAAAATATCCGGGCACTGTTCAATGCCCATGTAGTAAAACGCTCTCAATTGAATATCAAAACTTCATTTCAATTCAACTTCGACTACATTCAGTCTGTTCAAGTGACTTCACCAATCCTGCATTACCTTGGTTTAAGATTGATTATCCTTTGAAACTTGGCGAAGCACCAACATTCCGTACGCAAATCGATGATTTTCGTCACATCGCTGGACCATTTTTTCAAATGCTATTTTTCTATTGTGAATTATCTTTACAAACATTGAGAAGTGTACTCTTACTTTTTAATTCTACAAACTATATCACTCCAAATCTTGTATCAATTGAACAGTTTCGAAGTCAAACAAACCAATTCATACATCAATTTCAAGAAAGTACTGCACAATCATTTATTAGTAGTCTGAATTTAATCAATAATATGACTCATGCAAATGCACTTGTCTCAGGTCTGTTAACAGATTCAACTCAAACCTTTGATCCACAATATTACTACACTTATGATGGGAATAAATTTGACCACATATACGATTACAGAGATCAGGAATATAATTCAAGTGGAATTATGTGTAACTGTCAAGAAACATCATATTGCATTCAGCAAGCAGTCGTCTATGATTTAAACACAGCTAGTGAAGTGAACATTTATTTTCGATAGATGGTAATTTGAATCATCTAGAACTTCTACTATCATTTTCTAATTTTAGGCATCTACGTTGGATGTTTTATCGCTGAAGCAGTCCTTCGCAGTGATTTAAGATGCTTCTTCGATAGTGCTGGTTGTCTTACGCAGTTAACAAACGCATTAGGAATAATGTTTTCGACCAATATTTCCTCACTTTCAAATTCTTCTTTATCTCGTTATACGGTGAATACACCATTGTTGGATATAGTTTCAAATATAATGGTTGAGGAATGGAGTAATGTCACATCATACGACAATTATTTCAATGAATGTAAGCCATCTCTCTGCGCAGCTACATATGTCAGTCGCGGTAATCTAGTTTACAGTATTACAACAGCAATAAAACTGATTGGTGGCTTAAATCATGTATACCGATTTCTTGTACCTTTATTCGTTTTTGTGACTTTTCGTGTAATTATTTCATATATACGACAATAGATGAATCAAAATAGAGTAATGCCATTGTTAGACGGGGTAGTAGCAACAATTCAGCTAACTAAGTGACTGTAATTACAATATATCTTTTATTTTCATTTGTTGTAGTAATGCTTTGGCAGTTTTCTTTAACAGAGTTCTGCCGCATACATTTATTGCGATGTTCATCTTTTTCGGCTTTATATTTAATAAATAACGCTCGTCGAAGTTGACTCGCTTTATCCTCGACTGATAAATAAAATATAAGTTACATAAACTGATGATTTTCACTGGAAAGATTCTTATTTGCTACACTCATGAGAAGCTTAACTCACTAACGACCACTCACGATTAGCCGTCACAAATCGTAATTTATGCTCCACTGTATGCAATACATTCAATTGTATTTTTCATTTAAAATATCAGATTCACCTAATAATATTAAGTAATGTCATTTCCACCTTACATGTATAACAGAGACCGGCGGGACGAACGATTTGTCCCGTCCCGCCCCGTCCCGTCCCGTCCTGGGACGGGACGGGACGAAAAATTTAAGACTCGCCGCGGGACGGGACGATTTTGGAAAAGCGCGGGACGGGACGGGACAAAGCTTTATTTCGACTTGTCCCGCGATCAATCTTTTCATAGATATAGAACAGACAAATAATCTTATTCGTTAATTCTTATCTCCAATGTAAACTTTTTTTATCCTTTACGTTCTTCATACCCATCTGAAAACAATGCAGAACTTTATTCGAGGGTGTTTACAAAAACAAAGATTAGCTTTTCTTTAATAACAATGAGCTTATATTCTTGTGTAAACGAGAGAATATTCGAGAACCATACTTTACCTTGATCTTTTGTTGTTATTCTCTATACAAAGAGAAATTCATGGATAATTCAACATTCATTATTTAGATTCAGTAAAGCATTTGTTATTTGAATTCAAAATTATCTATATACATTCTTCTGATTTGCATTTCTATCTTCTCCATCTCAAGTAGATAATATTTTATTTATTCGTTCAATTCTAACAAATGGTTATCATGTTATGAACTGAACTCTATTCACGTGAACTTTTTTTTTCAACTAGATTATTTCTCTAAAAATAAACCATAAAAAAATACTTCCTTGTATACAATATAAAAATAACTTGATGGGCAGTTTTTATAGACGCGGGACGGGACGGGGCGGGACGAAAAAATCATGGTCCCGCCGGTCTCTGGGACCTACACAGCTATGGAAACCTGCCGGTTTATATTTCGATACATTATCAAATAGTCTCGTCATTGCTAATCATAATGGTAAAAATATCGTTCGTTGGATATTAGGTGAAACAGATTGGACACTTCTTGCTGGTAATCCTAATGCAATATCAGGTAACAATGCAACTTTATTGAATAACCCTCAACAAACGACATTTGATCCAATGGGTAATATGTATGTTGTGGATAAAAGTAACCATCGTATACAATTATTTATGAATGGATCAATCGAAGGAATAACAATTGCTGGCGTGACAAGTTCCAGTGGTTCGAGTTCGATATTACTCAAATCACCATACCGAATTCTATTGGACAAACAACTCAATTTATATGTTGCAGATACATACAATCATAGAATTCAAAAATTTCTTCGCTATTGAATCTAACATTTTCCATTATGCGTACACAAAACTTCTTCGATCATCATCGAAAAGAACATTTGAATATAATAGCTGTTTTAAGATTTCTTTGTTCTTCAGGTGAATAATCGTCTATAAAATTCAAATTAAATTTCTTGTCTTACTATAAATAGCATAAATAATTGGTTTTATCATGATAGACAATAGTATACAATAAGGTAAAAAGTTCTTTTTGATTAGCCTATTAACTGATAAGATCATATTTCCAACATAAATTCTCATTTTTTTTAGCATTTTTATGATGAGTTTAATAATAAATCGGATTTTTTTCCTAATACGTGATGTAAATCACGGTTGAGTATTTAAAATAAGAACGTGCTAATAGTTTTATCCGGAAATCCGATGAATTCTAACAGTTGACTACGACTTGCACAAAGTATTAGGTCGCAATACGATGATTTCTTTTGGAATAGTTTTCATAATAATTGTGAATTTAATTTATGGTCAATTTAATTTGTATTATACGGACTTGATAAATAAAAATAGTTTATATCATGATTGTTTACAATACAATTCAGTCAATTATGTCAAAGTTTTGGGAATAGACAGCAGATTTCCAAATCCTTATCAAATCATTCCGTATTGTTTACGACCATTTTCAGAAGAAGAATGGGTGGACACAGTTATCGTACATGATAATATCGTATCGAATTTAACATTTGATGAATTGAAAACGATGAATGTAACTGGACGCGATCTGCTGTCTTGGTCTGCTTCCATCGATCTTGTCGAACGTTATGAAAATTATTTAAACGATTTGGAAATAGATTCGAAATTCGATCGATTTTATAATTGTACACCATTATGGTTTGGAACATTTTGTCAATTTACATTCGATTCTGATCAATTATTCGATGATATCGTAGAGGAAACTTTTGAAAAAAAGGATGTCGAGTACATTGGAACGAGTCCGGATATTCAATCGCATCTTGATATAACTAATTTGACCTGTTACCTACATATACAATGTAATCGTGGACCATCACCAATGTGCCTGGATTGGCGTGAAATATGTGACGGAAGAATTGATTGTTTAGGTGATGGAATAGATGAAATGAATTGTTTGCAGTTGGAAATAAATGAATGTGAGTCAAACGAGTACCGATGTCATAATGGAATGTGTATTCCTGAAGACTTCGTCAATGATCATGCATATAATACTGATTGTCTTGATCGAACCGATGAAAATAATTTCGATGAATTGAAAATCGGTAGAAGTTTTGGATTTACTTTTTGTTATCAAGATCCAACATTTCGTTGCGAAGAATCAGATCATTTCTTTGGTTTACGAGGTTTCGTTTGCGGTGATGGACAAAATATTAAAATGCAAACAGCATTTGCTATGAATTTTGATGCGACTTCATATTTATATTGTAAAAATCGACGTAATGAAATCATGTGGAAATCAACTCTATCGAATATACAACATTCTTGGAATTGAACATCAACATGCTTTCGACTAATAAAATGTATTATGCTTGACCAAAATAGAGTTCTCTGTCCTGAACAAGTGTGTGGAGTTCAAGATAGTTTCTGTTCCGTCTCCTTAGAAGCTGCTTGTAATGAATCAATTTATATACTTTTTCCAATGTTACCCTTTCTTCACGAATACGCTGAATTTGGATTTTGGACAAGTACAATTAATAATTTGCGTCCGTTTGATATTATTCCTCTTCCTGACTTTATTTGTTATAATGAAGAACGATGTCTTTTCTTGGAAAAAGATTTTACATTAGAAAATAAATCATGTTCATATCTCGAACAATATGATTTATTAGATATTAATGACCTTATCGAATTAGTTCATACATGTTTGTCAATTGATAAGAGCGGTAATAGCACAGATTGTTTTCATCCATCGTTATTCCATTGTCCAAATACATCAAAATGTATTTCAAAACATCGAATACTCGATGGAGTTTCTGATTGTATGAATGATGCAGATGAAGTCGAAATAGATTCATGCGAATTTAATGATAAATATCGTTTTCACTGTTGGTCCGAAGATAAATGTCTCGCACCTGTTCTTATACGAAACTTCCTGACAGATTGTCGCCGTAATGAAGATGAAATATTTGACACAAGTCGAAAGTTTTCTTTTCAAAATCTTTGTAATGGAATTACGCAATTATCATCCATAATTATCGAAGATAAAGAAGAAACAGATGAAACAAATTGTGAACACTGGCCATGTAATAATCAATATACTCAATGTAATGGTGCATGGGAATGTTCGAGTGGTCTCGACGAAGTTAATTGTGATGCAACATCTCCATGTTATCCTAATCATCATTTATGTGTATCACCGATCGATTTAGAAATCAAATGTTTACCAGTAAATCAAGCTGGAGATGGAAAAATAGATTGTCTTGGATCAACCGATGAAAGAGCTTTTTGTCGAAGATACCGTTCAAAAGACCCTCAATCTCGTTATCGATGTTGGAATGAAAGTCGCTGTGCTTCAGTGGGTTGTTTCGGCTTGATTAATTGTCAATATGAATGGAAACATTTCGATGCGGAAATATGCTGGCAAGATCCACAAATAATGAAAATATTAAAAAGTCCTGCTTTAGATGAATATATGGGAACTAATCGTCTTGGTCAAAGTGTTTATTTTATTTTAAGTAATATGAGTCGTTTTGGATCAAATATATGGTATAAAAACTTCAGTTACAATAATGTAGATACTTTCATCGATCATAATGATTCGTCGTCAAAGAAAAATTCTAGAAATATAACTTACTATGAAGCATGGATTTGTAATCGAGGTATTCTAATCTTTCTAGGACAAGAAAAAATTCAACGTTGTCTTTGTCCTCCAAGTTATTATGGAAATCGATGTCAATATCAAAGTCAACGTGTAAGTTTAACTTTACAATTTAGTAAAGAATGTGCTCCTAGTTGTCGTGGAATATACACTATCATTATAACTCTCATTGATAATAATTATATTATTCATTCATACGATCAATTTACATATATGTCTACAAGTAATTGTGATATAAAACATAATATCTACTTACTTTTTCAAAATCGATCAAAAAATCTTGAAAAAAATTATACAATTCACATCGATGCTTATAATAAAATTGATCTTCTTCATTATGTCAGTTGGATATTACCAATAAAATTTCTCTTTTTACCTGTCAATCGTATTTCTGCCCATCTAACTCTGCCTTCTCATCGAACAACGCATACCGATACTTGTCCATTGATTTGTAATAATCACGGTCGTTGCAGCACATACTTCAATAGAAAAGAAAACTTTTGTCTTTGTGATTCTGGATGGTCAGGTTTAAATTGTTCAATTCAATTAAATACATGCGATTGTTCATCAAATTCCAAATGTCTTGGTGAAGTTAATAATCGATCGATCTGTTTATGTTCATATCTGAAATTTGGACCACGTTGTCTTCTTTCTTCAATATGTCAAAACAATCCTTGTAAAAATAATGGACAATGCATAGCAGATAACAAACAAATATCAAGAGATGCGTTCATATGTGTTTGTACAAATGGTTATTCTGGTTCAACATGTGAAATAGAAGATACTCGTATAGATATTTCCTTTCATGGTGTTGATATTCCTTCATTTCTATTAATTCATTTTATAACTGTACAAACGAATAATCATCCTTTAATAACAACAATATCAAAGAAAATTCGTTTTGATGAATATAGTACAACATTATCTATTTCAATTCCATTTAATTTAATATTTATACAACTTCAAAATAATTATTATCTTACTTTTCTTCAAAATAATAATTCATTGTCTCTTCAAAGAATTTCACTTGAAATGAAATCATTTCAAGAATGTCCTTCTATTCATCAATTATTTGATAAACAAATACTTTTGTTTCATATATTACGTCGAGCAAAATTTTATTATAGGATATGTCGAGAAAATCCTCATTTATCGTGCTTTTATGATCCCGAAGCATTTATATGTTTATGTAACAATGATAATTTTTCGAATTGTTTTTCATTCGATTTCAATAAAACTTCTGTTTGTAAGGGACGAACAACATGTGAAAATGATGGGCAATGTCTTCAAGATCGTGCAACATGTCCACAATCAACGATGTGTATATGTTCCGAATGTTTTTATGGTGGAAAATGTCAATTTACAACGAAAGGTTTTAGTTTATCATTGAATATTATTCTTGGATATCATATTCACTCACATTTATCAATTATTCAACAACCGCTTCCAGTTAAAATTAGTATTACAATAACAACATTAATGTTTGTAATTGGTTTGTTGAATGGATTTTTTTCTATAATAACATTTTATTCTCAACGTCTTCGTCAAACTGGTTGTGGATTGTATCTTCTTGTCTCATCGATAATATCAGTTTTTTGTTCGATTATCTTTGAATTGAAATTTTGGTTTTTAATTCTTTTACAAATGTCTTTATTTACGAATCGTACTTTTATTCATTTTGATTGTATTTTAATGGAATTTATTCTTCAATCTCTCATAACAATGATCAATTGGTTAAATGCTTGTGTTGCTGTTGAAAGAGTTTTTATTCTTTTGAAAGGGCCTTATTTTAATAAAAAGAAAAGTAAAAAAATTGCAAAATGGGTTATTATTGGAATAATGATTTGTTCTTGTCTTAGTTTTCTACATGATGCAATTCATCGTGAATTAATTGATGATGAAGAAGAATCACGAATATGGTGTATTGTTCGTTATTCTTCTAAGATAAAAACATTTGATTCATTTATGAATATATTTCATTTTATTTTACCATTTTCTATTAATATTATTTCAACAGTAATTATCATAATAACTATTGCTCGTAATCGTTCGGCTAAACAAAATAAATTAAGTTATATTGAACATTTACGTACACAAATTGCTGAACATAAACATCATATTATAAGTCCATTTATTTTAGTTCTTTTAACTATACCACGTCTGATTATTTCGTTCTTTTCTGGTTGTATGAAATCAATTCGAAATCCATGGTTATTTTTATTTGGCTATTTCATTTCTTTTATACCACCTTTATTAACATTCGTTATTTTTGTTTGGCCTTCGGAAACATACAAAAAAGAAATTAAGACAATACTTCAACGACAAAGGAATCGACTTTCGAGTCCATAAAATAGTTGTGCCCGCTTTAAAACAGTATTGGTAAAATCAAGTTTCCCGATTGTTAAGAGTTTCCTATCATTTAATAGACATGCTATTCTAGATGCTGAATCGAATATGTCACCGGTTGTTTTCCATAGATTTGTTGATGAATCATAGAAACAAAGTTGATCGAAAGATCAGTTATTAAGACTGGTTCATATACCTGTTATAGGATCATATAATTCTGCACTCTGTAAAAGAGCACCACTTTTCCATCAGATAAGCAATAGCATACCATCCTACAAATTACACTTGATACTAATTTCTATCATATCTATAGTTACCACTTTGACAGAATTTTATTGCTATTAAGGGTACACATACAGCTTTTAATGAGTAACATGAATTAATAAGACATACTGAATGGTTTGATGAACAGGTATTACTACGTGATTCCATAAGATTGAACATTGAATGTCAGCAGCACAAAAGCTGATATTATCTGATGTAAGATAATTGAAACACGGTTTTGCTTGTGAACGACATATATTATTATTTGATAAACAATTACATAATTGATTTTGTCCAGAATGAGATGAAACCGATAGTGAAAATTCTACTTGAATACCATTATTATTACGTAAATAATTTGATGCTTCCATATTATAATCTATATATTATGTAAAAAAAATTATCAAAGTATAAATTATAACAGTATTATGCTATTCTTCTTGAGAGTTTATTGATATTTATTCAATAAAATGTCTCTTTTTTCGCTTCAAATAAAACAAGAAAACAATCGCAACATATTCAATATCGAACTCTGGATGCATGTCTATTAAATGATAGGAAACTCTTAACAATCGGGAAACTTGATTTTACCAATACTGTTTTAAA